AAAAAAAAAAAAAAAAAAAATGAAGAAGCGTACAATATCTTGGAGGTCTTGATATTATTGACCCAACAATGGTAGCATTTTCAGTGATATAATGGTAAGTTTATTCTCACAATCAATGAGGACTTAAAAGAAGAAGTACTGAATGAAATAAATATAATGATAATTTCAGTTAATGAGATAGGCAGTTTACCGTTTCATACTAACCTTGTAAATCAGATCAAAAGGTTCCTCTTCAAGTTGATGCTGGTTGCATTATCATGTACAGTTATTACAAATATCATTGCCAAGGGGTAATATCCATTTAGAGGATAATCTGGACATAAGGAAGTTTGTTATGGTCATTTTGGTTTCAAAGCTAAGGAAAAAAGGAAAATGTTTGACTATAGAATAAGAGTTTCAACTATGTGCTGAGTACCAGCTATATTGCTTTCTGCAAAGATCTTTGCACCATTAATTATTTACACACAAAAGAATTAACAAGACGATAAAATAAATTAAAGTTAACAAAAAATAAAATCTGCCAATTTTCTACGTTGAGTTAAAGTAATAGAAAAGAATTGAACTGGAATATTACAATTCACAGTTTAACATAACATAAAATAAAATAAAGAGACCACAATGAAACTAGTATTAAATGCATAAGAAGAGTGTCTGAGGAAACATTAAAGCTATTGTCAAAAAGTACATTAAAATAGACTTGAAGGAATGTAAGAAGACATGAATTTGATTAGAATATGAAATTATTGCGCACTTGTCCACGAAATAAATATAAACACACATAAGACCTTATGCAGTATATGGATAAATATGTTCATAAGGAGCTCAGTAAACACTTAAAAATTACTAAAATAAACAATTTCCTACACTACTTCATATAAAAAATACTTCACATAATACGTTCATTATTTCACAATAAATATATGTATTCTCTTAACTTGTGGCAAGTTTTGCCTTTCATCTAATAGATTAACGGATTCAGATCTAACAACAAACACACTATTTTATTTATATATACTCGCACACAATATAGTATTATGGTGAACACTATCTTAGCAGCTTGGAATATTTTGGAATTTTTCTATCTTGCATGCTCATTAAAACTAGAAAGAAAAGGAGAAGAAAAAATGGATGTACAAATGCTCAGATTTATTTACTTTTACACCAAATGCTTCACATATTTTGGGGTACTTTCAAGATAATTATTTTCTTTCATAGAAACACGAACATTATAGGTAATCTTGTAAATGTATATTAAGAAGGTTCAACTTTGCAATCTTGAATTATTCATGCCGAAATAATAATTTCCTAAGGAAAAAGTTACATTGGCAATAGAGTAAGAGGATCTTGCTTCATGTATAGCTAATAGATTCAAGTTCCAAAAGCCCTCATTCCACTGAGAACTCAATAGTGTAGGTTACTTTTAATTAATTTTTATGAGAATTTGTAGTACCCCTAATTTCCCTTCACAATATTTGAACAAGTGGGAGAGAGAAAAATCCCAACCTTGCCCAAACAATGACCACCCTAATAATAATAATCTATACATAAGGGTGACCTTAAATATCTTTTTCAGAACAGGTGAAATGATTCTAGATGCAAAGAGATGGAGAGAATTAATTTTAGAGGTGTTTTTTTTATCATCATTGATATTTAACAAACTTTTTCCTCTTCAAAATAATGTTTAATATCTTTTTATACGATTCTAAGGTGAAAAATAGAACATACTCCTCAATTTTAACTTATTTAAGCCCACTAAAATTGAAATCAAGTATCTTCTTTCTCAAAGAATATAATTACATTGAAACAATTTCTATATGATCATTTTCATTAGCGGAACAATACTTCTATATTGCTACTGGAATTCACTTGATAATTACATAATGGAGTATAATGATAGATGCCACGCTAAAACACACCCACACACACACCCACATTAATCTACAACTTACATACACAGGATATCACATCTATACCTCCATTTACACAAGTTTTGATTCAATTACTTGAAGTTTATTGTTCAATGGAAAGCTAGTGTATGGTGTTTTTTGCACAGGATTTACACAAGAGAGGAAGTCATTTTTTAAAGATTTAAATTATTTTGAAACAAAGAGTTTTAATTTGATTTTTTTCATACAATGTTATACAAAATGAAATGGAATAAGAAAGAATATATAAACTCTACATGTGAAGATATTGAAGGAAACTGAAGAAAGTTATGCACTCATGTGCCACAATGAAAGTTTAGAAAGAGGTTAATTAAGTATTGCTTTTTATTGAAATTAATCAGTGTAGTGACAAGAAATGACAGATACTTATAAGAACAGACAATTCACAAACATTTAAATAAGTACCAGCATATTATTTTACAATCATAAAATAAAAGCCAAACAATATCTTTTATATCAGATATTAAACAAATAATCCTTTGGTTTGGTTAGCGCATATTCACTAACTCACAATGTTTACACATTACAATAGTGCACAACATTCATAATTATGTGAATACTGGTAAATGTAAACTAGGAGGCAGTTTTCAAAACCAAAACATAATGAAAATGCTACTTGCTAAACAGTTATGGGAACAAAAGGTTCTCTAATTCCTAATAAATGGCAACTAATGATACATATAGGATATACAGTACTATAACAAATTACATCAAACACACTAAGAAGGTATTGGTTGAAATGTACATAAAATGTCACATAAGTTACACCACAACACCTGAACAGAAAAGAGGGAGAGTGGAGTTTGCCCACAACCAGTAAATATATTTCTAATTGTAACAATTAGCCAAATAATGTCTCACGTCAATATTTTACTATGATATATTTTATATCTATTTTATACAAAATTATATACCATAATTTATCAGTATGCAAATTGATCAGATCCCACAATAAATACTTAGTCCTCCATTTCTATTTGATTAAATGTGATATGTGGGGACTAACCAGGCAAATATTTGAGTGAAGATAATCTCATGGGTTTCCATCTACAATTGAACAAACCCTTTACCTGGAACCTCATTTACAATATGATATAAAGCACACTTCAACAGAGCAACATCCAATTAGCTATGACTGGATATAAAAATATTTCCCAATATTGGTGAAATTTGGTTAATATAGATGATTAAGCACCATTATTATATAAAGTTCTTCCTTGATACACAATATAAACCATATAATGGTTTAATATTTCACAATTAATGCTCTAAATATTTATGAGATATAAATCCAAGGCTCAGAAGACTGTCTCAGTGGAAAGGACTAAGCACAGGATTAGAGTTGCAGCGTAATTCAGGGGAGGTAGCTACCGACTGTGGAAAAGTTACAAATAAGATTCAAGGTGGCATATACAATTAATAAGTATTTCACCAATAATAAAGATATCTATACAGAGATATTATATTTGAGCTTATTTCCATAAATGAACCACATATTAAAAAAAGAAATACTATTAGTTTGGATTTGATCTTGAGATTAAATATGATTTTGTTAAGCCACAATACAGTTCACACTCTCTCATCACAAATTTACTGTGCTGATGCTGAAAAAATATGTATTTTACAAGGAATAAAGCCAGAATTCTAAATTTATACAGCAAAACAACAATCTCCACGAGCATGATATTTATGTCTGCCACAATTCTTCCTACCATCTGTATGTCACTGAGAGTACATTTTCTAAGTAGTTACAAAGACACACTAAGCATACTTGAAATTCTCTCACATACCACACAAATATTTTAAATTAATTAATATATTTTATAATTAACATCAAGTTCTAGAGTATAACTTAAATGCTAATATATGATCAACTGCATATTATAATACTTTCACATCACACACAATACAGAATTTCTGAGATTTCATTATGAGACAAAAAATATTTTGTGCAAGAAGCAAATTAAAAGATATACTGACTTATCCGGACCCACAATTACATGTATGTAAAGAGACCTGGAAGTGTTATGTAAAAGTATACAATTCAAGAGAATGACATTTGGTTGAATTACTGGAAGAAGTAAGCTACTCACTGCAGACAGAACAAGAAGAGACATCATATATATTGCAAAGTCACTGAAAGACTTTTGTATCAGCAACTGCAGGGATTGTGGAAGAATACTAGAACTACATGACAGTCAGGCAAGAAGCATTCATACCAGAGTAGTTTACAATAAAGGTTAATTAAATGCCTGTTGATATCCAAAGCTTCCTTATCACATCGCAGTTTTCCAAAGCTAGCATTTGAGAATCAGGGATTAAAACTAGAACAAACTACGTTTTTTTTCTATAACAAAATATCACTTTTATTACAATTATGTAATGTTAAATGGTACTCACTTTTTTCAACCTGCAGTAAATACTTACACTAAAATAAATAACAAAATATACTGCATCACAAATAAAGGCACTTGTTTCAGCTGTCCTGTGTGTATTCAAGTCTATATTGCATATTCCCAATTATCCAGACATGGATAAGAAGCAATGAGAAAATTACATAACAGAATGAAACTGCAATTATATAATCACCAGCACTCTGCATTCATTTTAATTAAAATACGTCATAATTTCCACAATCCTAATAATGGCAGATAACGCTTATTCACTTCTAATTCATTATTCATCTTAAATATTATATTTGGGAACTGACAATGAATTTATATTAATACTTCGGAATGAACATGACAGTGATATAAGGGTTCGTGGTTGAAAGTGGTAGGCACATATATACATCTACACTACAAGAAACACTTTCCTGAATCTGACAATGAACACTGCAATTAACCTGTAGGGGATTTGTGCAGCAACTTTCACATATTTATAATATCTATCTCATGGTATCTTAAAAATAAAGATATGATATACATTCTAAATGTGTTGATGCATCACATTTCAAAGTATTTAGTTCTTCTTCTTTCTCTTGAAGTAAGAGTCCGCATAATGACCACCAAGTCCTTGGGAATGCTGACCAATATAATTTCCTTCAGGGCTAGGTTCAGGAGATGGCAACAATCTATTGTACTTTCGCTTCTGGCCTATGGGAGTAACCATTCCAGAAGGGGGGGAAGCCACTAAAATAGGGCTGCCAGGATGAGACCAAAGTGGCATGAAGCCTGAACTGGGGAAACTTCCAATCTGGGGACTACTAGGTGGCAATGTTGGTGGAGACGTAAGAAAGGGATTAGGGCCAGGTGTGGAAGACCAGCCATTTTGGAAAGCAGGCTGTCGTAGTTGACCAGGCTTTACTTCCAAAAATCCAATAGGTTTGGGTGGTGTGGGGACAGGAACTGGAACTGGACTACCTAAAATTGGGCGCCCAGCTGCCACAGGAGAGGAGAGAACAGGGCGGGAACTAGGTACAGGGCTGGTTAAAATTGTTCTTCCATTCTGCGCTGTTGCCATGGTGGCAACTGCCTGTGCGCGTGTTGTGGGAGAAGGCGCAACGGATATTCCAGTCCATGTACCCTCCGGTGGTGGGGGAGGAGGAGGAGCTTGTATTGTAGGAAGTAGGTTACTGGGTTGACCTACAAATGAAAAGCCTGGTGTTCCAGGCAATAATGTCCTTGGTGCTGTCAATCCTGAACCATTACCGTTTGTTTGTATGGCATTGGTCAGAGACCCAAGCAACTGGTTCAAATTTTGGGCATTACTCAATATAGTATTTATCGTTTGCTGTAAGTCACCTGAAACTGCTTCAGGAAACCCCAACATTGTTCCATTTTGTTTCAAGGAGTGAGGGTGAGGAATTTTGCCTGCTGTGGGAGTTACTTGTTGAGGGTATGGAGAAGATTTCTCCCCATGTAGAGGACTTTTAGGTCCAGCTAAACCATGTTCAAAAAAATTGCTTTTTGCCATGAGATTACCATCAATTTGGGCAATATTCATAGTTGTCTGTGTAGTTTGTTGAGACTGCAACTGACAGAGAAGTCCATTCCAGAAACTAGAGTGTTCTTGCACAGATACGTGAGAAGGCATATGAGGCATTCCTAAGACTCCAGCACTTGACGCATCCTCCAGAACAGGACTTGGAAATGGAGGATGAGGCGCTACTTCTCCAGGGGGTGGACTAATTGCAGCTGAAGGATTTGGAAGTAGAGGAACCTGTCAAAATAGAAACATATATTAAGACACATTTTTCATCTAAGTTCCCATTCCTTTATAATAATGTAGCAAATACAGAGTCTCCCTTTGGAAACTTATGTTTACCATTAATTTATGAGAAAATCTAGAGTGTAAGAAATGGTCGTCTTCTGGCATTAATGTTAAGTTAAGTATTTGAAGAAAACTAAAGGTAACCTGACAAAAATGATGGGATGAACTCTAACTTCAAATCAATAATTAAATTTAATGAACAGCACAACACAATTTAATTTTTTTAAATACCAAAATTACATCTTTTCATTTTTTAATATCTTTTTATTATCAATAGTAGGTTCTCTGGGGTCCATGGTCCACTAAGGGACCAAGATTTTATGTGGACCCTGCAGGGGCTATAAGGTTAAATTTTGGGCTATTTGTCCCGTCCAATAGAGGAAGCCAATTTAGTTAATCTAATGTTTATTGTAGTTATTCTTGTAATCCAATAGCATGTATATATTGAGGATTAGGTCCACTGTGTTCCCAGAAGTCTTTCAGATTTTGTGAAAAGTCAACAATCGGGTACAGTTTGGGTTATCCATCTTTCAGTACTATCTATTATATACCTCCAATCTCCAAAATCAAGAGATCGGCCAATTAGGGAAGCCTACTCGATGTTGCTACATTTTGCATATTTAATTTCCATGGCTAACTAACACTGTTCACTTGAACTATGAAACCGAATTGCACCCCATAAAAACTATCGAAATTCTGCCAATGTTCAAGTAACACCACATTTCACAGCAACCCAGTTGGCTTTTAATTTTTTACTGCTTACAAGGACAACTTTATTAGAAAAAATTTTTCCAGCATGTCCTTAATCCGTAAGAAATAATATTGCAGGATCACAGGAAAATATGTGATGAATGTATAATAACTACATTTTTCTAAATAACAGCCAGGAGTGAGCTGTAGTGAGTTACACCATGAATCTTTCATTATAATCTGATTAAGAAAAGTTCCCTTTTGATCTTTCAATTCTTTTTGGGTTTTGTGGACAATAATAAGTACTTTTTTTATTAAATAATTAATGTTTGTCAAAGCAAACTTTCTAGCAAATTGTCACAAAAAAATTTATTACTTAATACTATATTAATATGTACATAATAATTACCTTTTGTGTCTGGCCTTTTAGATATCCATTCTTGGAAGCAGTGGGTAACACAACTTTTCGACCCTCTTGCAAACCATTATGGCTAGGAGGAAATTGGAAGTGAGGAGATGCTGGAGGAATGATTTGAGAAGATGCAGTTATGGGTAATAAATTGGCCGAAGGCGGTGGTCCATTGGGGGGAGGCCCTTGCTTTATGAGATTTTGCAATGTGGCTAATATTTGTGGATTTCCAAGCAATGATGGATGGTTACTTCCCATCTGTGCTTGCATCTGAGCTGCCAAGAGAATGACCAAGGCGGCTTGAGCATTATCAGCTCCATTAGGGGAAGTCACAGAGGGTCCTTGACTGTTGTTTGTACCATTTGCACTTCCATTTGCATTGCTAGTATTGGTAGTCTTGCCTTTACCAGCAGCTGAAGATGAAGATGACACTGATGAAGTCTTTCCATTTTCAGTACTTCCAGAGCCCCCATTTTGTAAATTTTGTATCTGAGTCCAGATGATATTTTGTAAACTTTGAGCAACTGTTCAAAGAATAAATATAGCTTTAGTATAAATTAAATTAGTTACACACATTAATTCTTTCATATACACATATATATATTTTTATATATTATTGCTTATACATATTTGCAACAAATGAAGATGTGGAAATGGAAATGTTACATATATAATTCCTCTGCTCATAAAAACATTAGCATATTAAACTTACAAACTGGATTTTGCTTTGCCAAATTTTGAAGTTGTTGGAAGACAGCTGGTGCTGGGGGATCTGGAAGTAGGCCTGTTGCTTTTCCTTTGTTGGACTGCAAACAATACACATGGCATAAAGAATAGGGTATAACAAATATTTATTTCTGCACAAGCAAATATAATTGTGTATCAATACATTTTGAAAATGTTGCCTTACACTTTTGAACATATACAATAACAAGAGTTAATGATGTATTGATAAAGACTGTAGATTAAGGAGTGCTATAAATGACCATTAGCAGGATGTACTACAGTAATACTAATAACTAAGATAAGAGATATCTTACAGATTCATTTAGAAGCTTGAGATACAAGTTTATGGCACGCACTCCAGGAATATAATAACAAATGCGTATCTGTTGTCCGTGAAGGCTGTAACCATTAAGAGTAACTTGCGCCATTTCTGCATCTTCACTAGTGCTATATTCTACCAAACCCCAGTCCTGTGGACATCCGTTCTTCAATGCAATCTGTAAAATGAAACAGAGACAAGTTAGTACTAAGTAAACAGAGAAAACATTATTTCTTGCAAAAGCTGTTCAAATAACACCTCTTTCACAGGAGAAGGACTTACTGGAATTAAAAATAAACTATCTTCCAATAATTGTGATACAGTAATTAGATTTAACCAATTATGCCATTCTATTTTTTCATCTAATCTATTGTTCTATTTTGTTTTACTTAAAAGATTTGAAATCTCCCTTGAACAGGTACCACTTTTAGTCACCTTTAGAAGTATTCACAAAATCTGCCATCCCCATCCCATAACATTTCCATAAAATGTGTTGGGTTCAAAAACCACAATGCCCTATGAAATATGGATTTAAAACAAAAGTAATATTTTAAATGTTCTCTTCTTTAAATTATCACAATTACTGTGGGGGAAGGGGGTGGAAGATGGGGATAATTTGAGATTATTATTTATCCTACAAAGTTTTAGTCTTTAGGAATTTTAACTTCGGCAAAAACATTTATGGTGAGACCATCATTCTTAAGAACATTAGCAATTCTTTAAACAGCAAAATGCCAATTGTCTTATTAATAAGACTGATACTAATACTAACAATAACAACAATAATAATAATAATAATAATAATATTGTTATTATTATTGTTATTATTATTATTATTGTTATTATTATTGTTATAATAATAATAATTATTATTACTATTACTATCACTATTATTATAATTAAGTCGGCCCTGTGGCGCAGACTGTTGCGGCAGCCGTCGTCTGCAGAATCAAGTCCTGCGTAGACATGATCGTATTTGTGATTGTCCCTTCACCCCTCATTATCATCCTATAATATCATAATTCACACTTAAAGGCATAAAAACATTGTCATACCGCGGGATACAGCTGAAACACTGATCCTGAAATTACACACGTTAATTGTGTAGCGTGGTCAGTACTAGCCTATATGTCAATAGCAATAATAATACCAACAACAATAATATTGTTATTGATGTATTTCTTACAAGACAACTTTTGTCTGATGACAAGTGACATCAGCAATAACATGATGTATACACAATAAGGCAAAACAATAAAGTAATACAATTTAAAAAATCCGCATTATAAGACAATAAGTAATAATACAACTAATTAAGGCAATTATTCCACAATTCTATGGTCACAATATAAATTTTATTTAATTCTAATAAAACATGCCAAACTTTGGAAGAAAATTAACCATTGCTAACACTGTTGACAGTTTACTTGTACAATATTATATAAAGAGACAAAATGACTAATTAAACCTCACTTTTAAACAATTTTAGGCAATATTAGACACAATATATTTTATAAAAATTATCTTCATTGGATTTTAATATAATTTAACACATTAATTGATGAATGGTATTGCAGAATTGCTGCATATAATTTGTTTTAATATCTTAAGAGTGCAATTTACAAGGGAAAATTTTCCCAATCAGTTTATTGACTTTTTTAACCAGGATTTATAGAAAGTTGCCAACACTATTTGCAACCAAATATTGATCAAAATAAATGTCAAAATGAGAATTTCAAATGTGTTTTATTTACATGAAAAATTAATTTTACCTGGCAGTATGGGGGGTTGACAACTGAAGAAAACACTTTCCGAAATTCTCCCATGTCTCGAAAGTCTTTTGGCAGCTTATCCACGTACAGACATTTGGAATGTAAGGAATCAAATGTAACATGACTGGAATCCAGCCAATCACAACAAAGAATCCAATTGTCCATCTGTTTTCCATCTAGCATGTTCTTTGCTTGCAGGGCAGCTTCTTTAGTTGAATATTCAACAAAACCGTACCCTTTACTTTCACCTGCATAAAAATACACACATGCGAGTTATTATAATTTTAAAAAATTATTAGTGGTTCAATACAAAATGTATAGGGTAATTTCTCACCTGTTTTTTCACTAATCATGAGAAAACTTCGTTTCACTTCTCCATAAGTTCGAACAAGAGAAGTAAATTGAGTTTCGCTGTAGGTGAGAGGCAATCTGGCAACACAAAGCATCATTTCTGTTGGTGTGGGAGAAACAGGAACACGCTGTCCTCTAAGGAGAAATATACGATCTCGATCCCAATCTTCTAACATTTCTGGATCTTCCAAAACAGCACGTGCAGAACCTGATCCTGTTCCACTTTGTAACTGCACTGAATGAACAGGGAAATCTGACAGTAATTCCCGTATTTCCTGTAAAAATAAAAATATTTCTTATTATTATACAAACATTAATGCAGAGAATATGCAGGTACCGATTTAAAAATTACAAAACTTTTATGCTTAAGTAATAAATTCCAAATTAAGAACATTGTCTTCAGATGGCCAATTTGGAACAGAATGATTCTAAGTACTTCGACCATCAGCCCCAAACTAAAACACATCAATATTTTGTTTTGAACCGAGAGGGACGAATGCAGGAAGCATTTGGGAGAGTGAGAGTAGACTTAGTTTTGGATCTCCTTCCTCCAATAAATATTTTTGAAATAATAAAAACATTTCTCATAATTTTTTTAAAAATATATATAATAAAGGGAATACTCATTTGGGTGGGATGTCATCAATTGTACATTTAGTAATTAGAAAATCTCAGTGTTTCAGGGGAGGACAGTCCCCCCCCCCTCAAATTTTCTTTTTGAGAATGCTATTTCAAAATAAAAGAATTTCTTGGATGTTCGGGGAAAAATATATTTTTTAGTTGTTAGCTATGTGGAAATATACTTTGCTTCAAACCACGCATTGTTTAATACTCAAAGGGAAATCGATTCTTTATCGCTCTGGACAAGAACGAACAGCTTTTCCTCCTCTGTGTTCACTGAACATACCTCGCAGCGCTCCTGAGGCCAGAAGATAAAATGTTTATTAAGAGAGATTCAAGGGAGGATATAATCCACTAATACTGAATAATAAAACAGTTACACAAAATTTAATTTAATGTTTTTAGACTAGATAGGCGATTTCAACATATTTATAATTTTTCTAACGTACACAGAGTGAGAGTAAAGAGTATTCATACACTGAATATCTTATCAAAAAAAGCATTGCATTTTAATTAGCAATTTTTGCAAATTGCTTTCGGTAATTTAAGTATACGAATACTTTTTACACTCTGTGTACTTAGAGAAGGTAAAAGTGAGGTAAGCGAATACCGATCGAAACTTATCATAAGGCACGCATCTCGGAAGGCGGTCGAGACATTTATTAAAATTGACAGGCACTAGGAAACAGGAATACAGAGACCCACTCAGGTGGCAGCACATCGCACGTTGCACGTTCAGCAATGGCGTCCGTCGGTTTGGTCCATGTTTCTCAAGGCACCGCGGCACTCGCCAACGAAGGCGGTCGCCCCGCCAACTGAGGGCCAGCAACAACCCCGCGCTCCAGGGAGCGAAAACGCGATACCCCCGCTGTAGACGTCCGCGCGGACACTTTCTTGCACGATCCAGCCAGTCCAGGAGGCAAGAGATCTGCCGCGGGCGCTGCCACGTTTTCCTCTGCCTTAGGTTTACCTTGCAGGGGGCTCTTCACGGTCAGTATTACTGATGGTGTAAGGGCACTTATTCAAAGTGCGCATAATATATTAAGCGACATAAACTGATTTTTATAGAAGACTTTCCGGTATGTTGAAGAGCAGTCTTCTCGCGTAAGAGGCCTGAACGTATCGTGAACAATTTGCGTCCATTCTAGTTATCTTGAATCCCGGAGGACACGAAGTCAATCACTTGGGTGTCCTCGTTAATAACTGTTCTTCACTAGAGTTTTGAGGATCAATTGAAGGCACAACTGTATGGTGGTGGCTTTGCTAACCACTTCCCTGTTTCCATTATTTGGTATTTCTTCGTAGTCTTCTTTTGGGATGCGTATTATACAATAAATATGCTATCAAATTATACTATATCAGAGAAAACATATCTACCAAGGTGAATGTCACGTCCTTATAATGGAAAACGACACTTTTTGTATTCTACGAAGGTCCTTTATTACATTTACCCCCATTAGTTGAAGTCTGCGAGAGATGCCAGTCTTCACGCAATATTATTGGGCAATGACACTGTCCTTATAAGAGACCCTTAAGGCAGAGGGATAAAGTCTGTTCAGAACAATGAACGATTCGAAAACATCGGCGAAGGCAGACATTGCCAACTGACGTCTCGGAAGTGTAAGTTCAGCGACAGCAGATTGAGATTAGGAATTGTTTTCAACTATTATTAATTATTATTATTATTATTGTTATTATTATTGTTATTATTATTGTTATTATTATTGTTATTATTATTGTTATTATTATTGTTATAGTTATTGTTATAGTTATTGTTATAGTTATTATTGTTATTATTATTTTTCAATTTTGTCACTCAAAATAAGATTTTAAGAATTGATTAAAATAATGACAAAAAGCGTGTTACAATATTCATATAAATTCCCCGATAGAAAAATTGAAAGTGGTTCAATTTGAAGTCTGCGAACAGCCAACAATCGCCGAATACAACGAGCTTCGCTTCCATCATGCTTTCAACTTCAGTCGCGATATAACGTACAAGCCCCCTCGCATACTGTAAGAGGTTTTTTTGGATGAAAATTTTGAAAATCTTCGATATTTACTTCGTAATAAGCAATGTTTTTTCGTTGCAAATATGTTATTTTAACACTGCTTATTTCCTGCAAATTTCAGTCAGCAGGTGCTAAGAAATTTACAGGAGGGATGTCAAAAAAAAAAAAAAAAAAAAAAAAAAAAAAAATACATCCATTTGTAACATTGAAAAATAAAAGTCAATTTTTGATACATTATTTTGCTTAATTTCGAGATTGCGCATTACCCCCTCCAGTTTCTGTAGTTTTTTTTTTGTAATAGGGGAGGGAAACTTATATTCGAGAAAATACGGTAATCTTTTAAAAACGGACGAGCAAAGAAAACTGAGAAAAGATTAAAAGAAGATGTAAAGAGTTCGACTTTACGAGCGAAGTTCTCTGCATGGCTGAAGTTCCAGACAACTTTGTTGCGAGAGGTAACGTTGTAAGAGGCAAGGGCACTAGCTCATGCACGGCGGTACTCCGCTGCCGTTTCCTGCCCCTCTCAGATGCACAAGCGCACCCGGCAAGTGGAACACAAGAAGCCGCTATCCCACAATGCGAACCGCTGGCCAGGAGGGTCGTCCGGTCAGCGCGTGGAAACGGCGCTTTGGCCCTGGCGATTGGGGGGAGGTGCGGGAACTCGCATCAACGAAATCGAAGTCGCGCCGTCGGCGAACGGCCCTTGAGCTGCTTCCCGGCGCACGGCCTGGGAGTACACGGCACGTGTCTGCGAGATCCAGGCTTAGATATTTTCAAAGAATTGAAAGGCGCAAACGTCTAGAGAGATGATCGTTCTTCTACACGTCACTAGTATTCATTTCGAAGTAATCCAGTGTCACTCATTTAAACAATACGACTAGTTTTTCATGGTTTGAACAAGCGGATGGTTTGAACAAGCGGATGGTTTGAACAAGCAATTTCCATTTAAACAAGAAGCCAGGATCGGTTGGAGGGGGGGGGTAAATTTCTTTATTAAACGTTATATACTAGTTGAAAACTGTGAGGTACTATGGGGTATCTATCAGACAAATTGCACGTACTGTCTTTATATTTTGGCTTCTCCCCAGCAGAGCAACCCTGAGGGCGGGCACGTCCACCCGCGCAAGCCAGCTGCGGCCCTGCGCTCCGCGTCCCGTCTTTCCGGAGCGGTCCCGATTGCCTCTGCGTTAACAGCTGCGTCGAAGCGCGGCCCCGCACCAGAGGCCATTCGCCGGTGTCGGGCGCGGGAACGGGGATCGATCCCAGCGCTCAACGCGCTTAATTAATACGGCCCATCCTGAGAGCGGGGTGGGCGGTCCAAGGATCGTGAGCACGCATTGCTTAGCATCACGCTGGGGAAAAACTACTTTCTTACCACTAACGTCTTACGCAAATGAAATATTTATTTAAACAATATTCTGTTGTACATGTTCAAGAATTTGGCAGAAACATTTTATTTTCGCCACATTCTTCGAAGTAAAACAACAGCAACAATTTTAGAGAAGCATAGGTGACGGTCGTAATTAGATTTTAAATTAATGCAAGATTGTAAAGATCTTACAATATGGAAAGCTCAATTGACGGACAATGTTTTAAAAATGCTACAAGGGCATTTGCTCTGTTTTTCAAATAAACATATTTTAATACAGTGAAGGCTCTTCACAATCCAAATGGAGTTGGAAGCAGATTTGGACGTATGAGCGGCAATAATATAAAGTCAAATACCATTTCATTTTGTGCGACTACAACTGGACGTAATTACAGAAACCACCACGAGAGTGCAGCAGTCAACAGGCTCGTAGCGTAGAGCCGTAGGGAAAGCCGCAAGATGCTAGAAAGCAATATGAAAATACTTGTCAGTCCTACAGGAAGGAGAGAATTGAAGAGGTAATGTATCTTCATGAAACATGAACTTGTAGGGATTGTGGTCCATAACAATCAAATTGCAAACCTCCAGAGGCTAAAAAATAGCTTGGTACTCGTATTGTATTACTATTTCTTAATATGCAAGAATGACTATAAACAATTACTACAAAATAAAGATTCTACCATTTTGTAATGCAATTAAGTTTCTAAGTGAATGATAAGATGTGTAGTTCTAGTTCCCAATCGTAAATTTCTATTACAATCAGCTAACCTAATAAAGCCTTTCAATCTCACTTCTATATGCGTAGTCATTCAAGCCTAAGTCAATCTCACTTCTATATGCGTAGAGAAGTGTGAGATGAAGCATATTTGAGTTCGGGAGGAGGTTCCCGAGTTCGGCCCACGCGATTTACATTTAACTGAGTCTGTGCAACGCATCATTTCGAAAGCATTTTTGTACCAAAATAATTTTGCGACTATACAAAACACCTCACAGCGCTCGCCAGCGCGCTGTGGCTAACGCCAACATTAGCCGGTTGAAGCCCGAAATGATCAGTTCATCATCATTCTTACAGGTTTATTTACGCGTATTCGCTAAGGTTCGAATTGACGGGCAACTCTGAGCATTAGCCACATTTCGTTCTTTAGCCGTATCACATTCATTTCATCGGCAACGCAGGTCGCGGAGGCTGTAAAAACGCATACTCGATGGGCCTGACGCTGCTGACGCCATGAAAACTTGAAACCTCAGCAAACTTTGAATCCCAAAATGTCACCCGCAGCTTAACAGGCACCCGAACATTATTTCCTCACCCAAAGTTAACTGAAAAAAGTTGACGGGAAAAACCTAAAATTCTAATGACACAAATTTGCTGTTGAGTAGTCATAACACTACTAACCATTTGAGTAAAGCGTAGGGATTGGAGGTTAGAAATGTTGAGAGACCCGCCAACCTAGGAAGCCATATGCGACACGAGGCGCATTGTAGCGTTTCCCGAGGACTAAAATCACCCGCCTCTTTTTCACGACCGCGTTCGAAGTTCTTGCGAGCGCGTTCTTTGAGCTGTGTGGCTCATGGAATTCGCCACCTTTCCCGAGAAAGACATTCTTCATGTGAATGCTTCCGAAACTGCCCGGCAATCTGCAATACATCAGCGATCGCCAAATTCGTCATGTGCAGCAACCACAGCTGAGTCGCGTTGTTTGCACAAGCATTTGCAGCATTAATATTATTAATGATTATTGATGTTATTTGTCATGCGGAACGAATTTCGTGTTTCCGGGCGTGACAACTTGACAACTACATTAGCCATTAGTCCCATG